GCACCTGCCTTGCAAGCAGGAGGTCGTGAGTTCGATCCCTGGGACCGATAAAAAAAAAAGTTAAAGGATAATTTAATGTCAGCTAAAAGAAGGAAAAAGGCAAAACTAAAATAATGAAGTGAGCAGAGTGGATGTCTGCAGGTGGGGAATGAAAGCACACGAAGGGAACTGTGTTGCTCAGGAGAAGAACAAAAATGACAGTCTTGACTTTCTTGGAGAAATCCAGATACAGATACATAGGTTAGAAAGGTAAGGGTAACAGTTAAAATTAAGGAAACCTAACTTACAACCTGGCCTCCAAAATAAAGGTGATTGGTACAAATTAATACATCCAAAGAAAGCAGAAAGGGGCACAAAAGAAGAGGGGAAAATCTGCTGTAAAGAAAGTATGAGAACCAATGGAAGAGAGGAGCCCAGGTCCTCAGTGGTCACAGGACGCATCGGCTTCACACACAGATGAGAGAGCCGGAGGCTCCGACTGCATTCCTAACATCTGCCCTTCCCCAGAGACCTAGTGAAAAGCAAAATTACACCTACAGATTGAAAATAAAAGGACAAAATTTATATAAAGTAAACACTGACCAAAAGGAAGCAGTGTGCCAATGCTCGTATTATAAAAACTAAAATTAAGGAACATGAATGAGAAGGAAAAATAACATTTGGCAGAAGAAAATGACAACCTACCAAAAGGATACAGTAATTTATGAGTCTGAATGCATCTGAAAAGGTGCTTTGAGATATATAAAGCAAGAATTTACAGACATAAAGGAAAAAAATGACAAGTCTACAACCACAATGTAAGATTTAAAAGCACACCCTGAGTGCCTGCCCCAGGGCTGGAACTCTGCGGTGTGGCTTCGAGGAGAATGGAGACCCAGCCTGTGATGCCCTGTCTCGAAACCCTCCTCCTCACTCGCTCCTCTGGCTTCTGAATCATGGGGCTGATGCGGTTGGCTATTGGAGTCTGGGACATCTTCCTCTGGGCACCTACGTCTCCCTTACTGCTGAAAACTCCACGAATGCTCCCTCCGTGCTCCTGAGAACTGGCACCATTGTTGCTTTTGGCTTGCTTGGGTGCTTGGCAGTGTGCCGTGGTAACCCGTGGGTGCTGAAAGTGTATGCAGCGTTTCTGTCCCTGAGGCTCCTGTTTGAGCTCAAAGCTGGCATTTCAGGGTTTGTGCTCCATTGCGAGATCAAGGACACCTTGCCGAGGACTCACACAAATGCCATGCAGAACAACAAGGGCAAGGAGCCAGCAGCGGGCTACATGTGAACAGCCTGAGCAGAGGGACACCAACTGCATGCAGTCCCAGCTCCTAATTCTGGAGCTTGACATCTCCACCCTACCAGGTGCCGAATGCACAAAACCATATAAAGCCAAAATCTACACAACCTGACCACAGCTGCCACCAAAGTTAAGTAGAAGAGTCCAGATTCAGGGGGACAAACGTGGGAATCCGTGGAGTAAGGGGAAGACTTTCAAGAATGGTGGAAAGAGACCTGCCTTGGAAAGGAACTGCAGCAATCTCTGAAAGACTTCCGAAGAGTGTGCAAGCACAGTCAGTAACAGCCCTGCTCCCAGTTCCACTCCCACATCGCACACAATTCACAGTCCTACTCAGCCTCCGCTCCACCGTGCAGCCTGCACCCCTGCCATCTTGGGAAGCCCTATGGTGCCCAGAGGGTAGCCAGGCCCCCCAAGGCTGTGCGTGTGCCAGCTCCTGCAGTATCCTGGCTCCAGCTGCAGCTCAAGCAGGTGACAGGTTATATCACATGTTACTGGTCCCTGCACCCGGCATGTAGTGTGGGCTTCTCCCGTTTGCCCCTCCTTGTGGAGGGTAAATGCCTCGCACCTGTACATAGCTGAGAGGAGGACAGTTAATCTCTCCTTTGGCCTAAAGTCATTTGGTTTGGTTTTCTCTTCACTAAGGCTCTTTCCTACCTTCTTACTCTGCCTAGGACACGTAGAGAAACACATGAGTAATTGTTCCTGAGGGAAAAAGCGCACATCACACACCATGTTAATTGTTGTTGAGCGTTAAGAGGTCTTTCTCATTATGGTTCTGCACCGGGGTTAGACAGAGACAGTTCGGTGCATCTCTGCCTCTCAGTGGAAAAATGTGTAACCCTGTTACAAAGCTGTGTTGGGCACGAAGGCCATGATATTATTTTTGGTTTTCCCTAGTTAATTGCGATTCTGTTCTTTAACTTCTTTCTGTAATTCTTTTTTCTGGCATTGACATTACAGACTTGAAGATCAGATCAATTTAAAAGTGAATGTGAGGGGCTGGGGATTTAGTTCAGCGGCATAAAGTGCCTGCCTTGCAAGCAGGCAGTCCTGAGTTTGATCCCTGGTACCGATAAAAAGGAAAAAGACAAAAAAAAGTGAATGTGAGTGGGGGAAAAGTTCATATGTGTTGTAAAGATCTTCAAAAATAATGCCACTGTCTAGCATGCCCACAAAACACATCGATATTGTGAACATTTGTGATACATGTATTAATAAACAGCAATTACAAAAAACCAAAACACGCCACTAAGAACTGATAGTTCAAGTAATGCAAAATAGTTTACAATACCGTGGAGACCAGAGAAGAGCGGCTCACTCCCACCGGTTCACAGTCCTCCAGTCCCTCCTGTGCTCCAGAGCGGGGAAGTGGAAGCTATTTCCCCAGCTCCTGTTGAGCTGAGTTTAGAGCTGTGGATTTGCTTCGCCCACTCAGTGCCCCTGGCCAAGATCTGAAGGGCAGATGTGTGGGGAGACCACCGTTATTTTCCTCAGGTTGTGACTGCTCCCAAGCGCAATCCAGAGCATCCAGTTTTAAGCAGCAAGGTCCAGACTCTACCGGCCCAGCCTAGCGACCACTCCGGCACATCAATGTTCACTGCTTGTGGAACTCCCAGTGCTCTCTGGGAAACCTCATTCTGCTTAAATACCTGGAGTTGTTTCTTTTTTCCATATTGAACACCGATTACTATAGATTCGAGTTACTGATAATTATTGCAGATTGGGAAAATATGATTTAAAGGCTCAAGTTAATACAGAAAGGAAGAAAAGCTTACAACATGAAATTGATAATTTACATTTCTTTAAAGCACGGCAACGAACAGTAACAATGACTGACAATATATCAAATCACAAATATTTCTTAAAAAATCTTATATATTTCTTAAAAATCAAAATTAGATCATTTCATCTGTCATTACCTTATTAAATTTAAACTTGAAAAAAATTATCTGAAAGTTAAACACACACGAACTTCTAAATTATCATTGGATTATAAAGTAAATTATGTTTAAAATTATAAAATATTTACAGTTGAATGACAATAAGCATTTCCATCATTGCTCAAGGCTTATAGGACGCAGCTGATAAAGTACTTAGAGAAGAATGTATAACATTGTGAATTAATTATAAATGAGAAAGATTTTTTTAAAGTTATCTGACATTTTATTCCTATAAACGGATCCATCCCATACAGTTGTTGATTGGTAACTTACATCCCTTATTAGCATAACACAGGTAAATGTGCTCCAATTCTCACTTTACAGATTCTGGTCCAATGATGAAGTGCTTACTATTTTTAATATGCACATTAGCCATGTTTTGACATCTTTTGACCAATGACATCTTGGAATGCTGTTTTTTTTTTTAAGTTAAGTTTACTGGTACAACTTAGATATACACAATGATCCCATTCTTCATAGGGAATTTGCACCTATACATGATATATCTTGGTTCTTTTAAAAACCCTTTCCCCTCCTTTCAACCCCTTCATTTATAAGGCTTTATTTCCATTTCATCCTTTTTTTAATCTTTTTTTCCTTTTACTTTCCTTTCTCCTGCATCCCTCCCTAGTTCCCCTTTCTTTTGAACAATTTCTTCCTTTTTCATAATACCCACTTTGATCTTTATTTATTCTTTTGGTTTCTCACATCAAAGAAACAATGTGAGCCGGATTTGGTGGCTCACGCCTGTAATCCTAACACTTGGGAGGCTGAGGCAGGAGGATCGTTGCAAGTTTGAGATTAGCCTGGGCTACAAAGTGAGCTCAAGGCCAGCATGAACTGCATAGTAAGACCCTGTATCAAAAAGACAAAAAAAAAAAAAAAAAAAAAAAAAAAGAAAGAAAGAAAGTGATATTTACACATGTCTGATTTATTTCACTCGAGGCATATGGTCTTAAGGTGCATTGATTTACCTAGGAATGTCTCAAACTTATCTTTCTTGATGGTTGAGTAATACTCCATTATTTTAAAAAGCCACATCTTTTTTATTCATTCCTTAGTTGATGGACATTTGGGTTGTTTCTAATATTTAGCTATTACAAACTGTGATGCTATAAACATGGGTGCACATATATCACTGAGCACATATATAGTGTTTTTAATTCTTCCAGAAAGATATCCATCAGGGAAATTCCTGGGTCAAAGGAAACATCTAATCTTGGTTTTAAAGGAGTATCCACACTGGTTTTCACAGTGGTGGCACCAGTTTTCCTTCCAATACCAGTGGAGAAGGGTTCGTTTTCCCTCCAGCCCTCCAGCCCTCCAGCATTTGTTATTAGCTGATTTCTTGTTGGGAGCCGTGGCACTGTCAAGTCATCAGACGCGGTGATTGCGAGGCCTGTGGGAAAGTACAAAAGCCTGGGCTAGATTACCCCTCTCATCGAGCCCGCCTGTGTGGCACCTGTTTCTTATCACCCCACTAAGTTCCCGCCTCACAGGGTAGTCTGCCTAGCTATTAATCCTATATATAGCCAGTGCCTCCACCCCCGAGAGAGAGAGAGAGAGAGAGAGAGAGAGAGACTGAAGCACAAAAGGAGCCGCGGGGAGCGGACCGGTAGAGGCTTCGAGAGAGACTGAAGCACGGAAGGAGCCGCGGGGAGCGGACCGGTAGAGGCTTCGGGGCAGACTGAAGCACGGAAGGAGCCGCGGAGAGCGGACCGGTAGAGGCTTCGGGGCAGACTGTATAAGGAGAGAATAAAGAAAAGCCTGACCACCGCCAGACCTTGTCGTGTGTCTTTCCTGCCGGCCGGGAGCGGACATCGACATTTGGTGGCCCGTACGGGGATTGATCAACCCCGAGACGCGGCGGTGGACTGCATTCTCCTACACAGTGCTGCAGCTGCAGGACAGGTGAGTAGAGGATAAGCCTGGGCCCTGGGTGGCGCGCACCTACAGGGTTTGTAGACTCCTCTCAACCTCACGCGTAAGTGGCGGGTTTCTTGGGCCTCACGCGGTGAGTATGAAACATAACACCAGAACTTAAGGTAATAAAAGAGTGTAAAACATAAACATAGAAGTAAAAATAACAGAAGATATATTAAAAATGGGAAACATGCCAAGTAAAGATACACAGCCTTGGTGTTGGTCCTTCGGAGACTCCTAAAGTCCAAGGACCTCAAGGTGGGGCGTAAGACTTTAGAAAATTTCCTTGCAGAGATTGACAGCTTTGCTCCCTGGTTTCTGCCTACAGGGCATGTAAACCTGCCCTCCTGGGAAAAGTTGGGCAGAGACCTTTCCCTAGCAGAGCGGGAGGGTAGAGCTTCAGTCTCTGCTCGTCCATTGTGGGAAATGATACACACGTGCCTAAAGAGTGAGGGTAGTTACGGGGGGAGCTCTCAAGAACTTGTAGAAGTACGCGAGGTGTTTGAACAGGCACAGTGAGGAAGCTCCCGAGAAGGGTCCGTCAAGGAGGGCAGAGATACAAAAGAGGAAGCCGAGGCGCGGTTTGTGTCTTTCCGCAGGAATCGGGACGAGAACCAGTGTGGGTCCCAGAGAGGTTGACGCGACAAGTCCCTCGACTGAAGATCAGGCCTGTTCCACCAGAGGCCAACCGCAGACCCAACAACAAGATGAGCCCTAAAAGAACTGCAGGACAATCCCTTTTTGGGGGCCTGGAACGGCTTGCTCCCCTATGTGCTACCCTTGTATACGCATGGCTCGCTCGCATGGCCTACGACCGCGTTTAAAAGTGACAGGCTTCCCACATTCTCCTCCCTAGACAACAACATGTAGCAGGGTGGGTGAGTCAATGACGGGTAAGAGCGTGCCTCCCCAGCACGACTCAACCTAAGCCAGGCCCTACCCCGTTCCGCTCGAAAGCCGCTGGATTGTTAGATAAATTTCTCTCCGAGGGGATTCGTGGAGAGAAATGAGTGCATGCCTATGTGCAACCAGGTTCCGTCCGGTTCATTCCTGGCCCTAGAAAAAAGGACGAGGGCCTTGGGGCCTTGGTGGACCCTGGGACGGCCGACCAGGGTCTACGCTAAGGGCCTACGGTGGGCCTCAGTTCGGGGCATAGGCCTCTGCACTCTATCCAGGACGGGCTGCGATGCGCGTAGCCATCATTTAAAATAAAATAGGGGGAGATGTTGGGAGCCGTGGCACTGTCAAGTCATCAGACGCGGTGATTGCGAGGCCTGTGGGAAAGTACAAAAGCCTGGGCTAGATTACCCCTCTCATCGAGCCCGCCTGTGTGGCACCTGTTTCTTATCACCCCACTAAGTTCCCGCCTCACAGGGTAGTCTGCCTAGCTATTAATCCTATATATAGCCAGTGCCTCCACCCCCGAGAGAGAGAGAGAGAGAGAGAGAGAGAGAGACTGAAGCACAAAAGGAGCCGCGGGGAGCGGACCGGTAGAGGCTTCGAGAGAGACTGAAGCACGGAAGGAGCCGCGGGGAGCGGACCGGTAGAGGCTTCGGGGCAGACTGAAGCACGGAAGGAGCCGCGGAGAGCGGACCGGTAGAGGCTTCGAGAGAGACTGAAGCACGGAAGGAGCCGCGGGGAGCGGACCGGTAGAGGCTTCGGGGCAGACTGTATAAGGAGAGAATAAAGAAAAGCCTGACCACCGCCAGACCTTGTCGTGTGTCTTTCCTGCCGGCCGGGAGCGGACATCGACAATTTCTTAATGATTTCCATTCTTTCTGGAATGAGACAGAATCCCAGCATTGTTTTAATTTGTATCTCCCAAATGACCAGTGTCGAACATTTTTTCGTACATCTATCTGTCATCTGTATTTCTTCTGAGAAGTGTGTACTCATTTCAGACGCCCATTTTTGGATTACGTTTTTACATTTGGATGGTCTGATTTTTAAAAATTCTTTATTTGTTCTGATATTAGTGCTTTGTCTGAGGGGAAAGTGGCTAAATATTTTTCCCACTCTGTTGGTTTCCTTTCCACTCTATTGGTAATTTCTTTTTCTGTGCAAAAGTTTTTAACAGGATGAGATTCCAGTTGTGGGTTCTTTGTAATATTTCACATGCAATCAGGGTTTTGTTCATGAAATCTTGGCCTACACCTATGTCTTCAAGTATTCTCTCTTCCAGCAGATTTAGTGTTTTTGTTTTAATATTTAGAACTCGGACCCATTTTGATTTTAGTTTAGTGCATGGTGGGAAACATGGTCCTAGTTTTAGTCTTTGGCAAGTGGAAAGCCAGTTTTTCCAGTACCATTTATTAAAGATGCCATCAATCTTCCAGTGAAGATGCTTGGCACCTTTGATAAGATGGGTGAGTTCTTTATGCATATTCTAATCTGTTCTATTGATCCTCAGGTCTGTTTTTATTTTTTCTTTTGCCAGAATCATGCTGTTTTTATCATGGTAATTTTGTAGATAATTTCAAGTTAGGGATTGTGATGTCCCTTACTTGGCCTTTTTGCTTTGGATTTTTTTTTTTGCTATTTTAGGTCTCTTCTAGTTCCAAATGAATTTTAGGAATGTTTCCTGTAGTTCTGTGAGGTATTTTGATTAAAATTACATTAAATCTATAAAGGAATTTTGGGAGTATGGCCATTTTTACTATGTTGGTTCTTTATACTTTGGGAGTATTGTTTCCCTTTTTCAATTTTCTTTATATGTGCAAGGGAATCTTTCTATTTTCTGATATCTTCTTTGATTGCTTTTTTCAGGGTACTATAATTATCAATTACTTCCTTTGTTAGATTGATTCCTAATTTTTTTTTTTAAAACTTTTTATCAGTACCGGGGATCGAACTCATGACCGCCTGCTTGCAAGGCAGGTGCTTATGCCACTGAGCTAAATTCCCAGCCCAGTATTTCATTTTTTATGCTATTGTGAAAGGTGTTGTTTCCCTAATTTCTTTCTCAGTGTGTTTGTTCTTCATGCCCAGCTATTGATTTTTGAATATTGACTTTGTACTCAGCTACAATACTGAATTCAGTTATTAAATCTACAAGTCTTTTGATAGAGTTTTTGGGAGTCTTTGATATAGAGTATCACATCATCTGTAAATAATGATAATTCAGCTTCTTCCTTTCCTATCCCTTTTCCTTTTATTTCTTGTCTAATTGCTTTGAGTAATGTTTCTAGAACTACACTGAATAGGAGTGGTGATAGAGGACATCCTTGTCTTGCTCCTGACTTTACAGTGAAATTTTTCAGTTTTTGACTGTTTATTAAGATGTTGGTTATGTTTCTTATACATGGCTTTTACCAGATTACAATAAGGATCATCCATTCCTATTTTCTGTAGGGTTTTTAAAATCATGAATGGGCGTTGGACTTTGGCAAATGCTTTTTGTGCATCTACTGAGATGATTATGTGAATTTTGTCTTTGGTTCTGTTGATATGGTGTATGACATTTATTGATTTGCATATGTTGAACTATCGCTGCATAACTCGGATGAAGCCTGCTTGGTCATGGTGTATAATCTTCCTGATGACTTGCTGCATTTGATTCGCAGTATTTTATTGAGATTTTTGCATCTATGTCCATTAGGGAGATTGGCCTACAATTCTCTTTTTTGGGTCCTTCTCTGGTTTGGGTATCAGGGTAATACTTGCTTCCAGGAATGACTTTGCAAATGTTGCTTCCCCTTCCATTTTTTAAAAGAGTTTCAACAATAGTAGCATTAGATCTCTAAATTTATTGTAGAATTCAGCAGTGAATCCATGGGACCTAGGCTCTTGTCAGTTTTTTTTATTGGTACTGGGGATCGAACTCACGACCACCTGCTTGCAAGGCAGGCGCTTATGTCGCTGAGCTAAATCCCCAGCCTATCTATGTCTATCTTTTTTTTTTTTTTTTTTTTTTTTTGTCTTTTTCCTTTTTATCGGTACCAAGGATCGAACTCACGACTGCCTGCTTGCAAGACAGGAGCTAATGCCGCTGAGCTAAATCCCCAGCCCCTTTGTCAGTTGTTTTTAATTACATCTTTGACTTCATTGACTGGTATCAGTTATTTATACTTTTTATATCTTCTTGATTTAATTTTGGCCATTCATACGTATCTAAGAATCTGCCCATATCTTCAGTGTTTCCCATCTTGTTTGAATACAGGTTTTCAAATCTTCTGGATTTCCATAAGATTCATTGTGATTTCACCCTTTTTACTCCTAATTGCAGAGTTTGAATCTTTTCTCTTTTTGATAAGGTTGGCTAAAGGTTTATAATTTTATTTAGTCTTTCAAAGAATCAACTCTTTGATTCATTGATTCACTGTATTATTTTCTTAGCCTCAATTGCATTACTTTTGGCTCTTATCTTTATAATTTTCTCCCTCATAAGAGCTTTGGGCTTGGCCTGCTCTTCTTTTTCTAGAAGTTTGAGATTCAACATTAAGTTGTTTATTTGAGCTTGCTCTGTTTTCTTGATGCAGGTATTCGATGCTATAAATTTCCCTTTTAGGACTTCTTTCATTGTATCTCATAAGTTCTGGTATGTTTGTCATTATCATCTAATTGCAAAAACTGCCAATTTCTTCTTTCATTTTATCTGCAACTCAGTTGTTGTTCAGGAGAGTTATTGTTATTTAATTTCCATGTGTTTATGAAGTTCTTGTGGTTTCTTTTCCCATTGATTTCCAATTTCATTGTGCTACGGTCAGTTAATATGTGTGGAATAATTTCAATTCTTTGCATTTACTTAACCACATTCTATGAGCTAGTTTGTGGTTTATTATGGAGACATCCTGTGTGCAGCTGGGACAAATGTATATTCTGATGCTGCGCAGTGCAAGACTCTGTAGATATCTACTAAGTTCATTTGTTCAAAAGTTTGGTTCAGTTTTAATATTTCATTGTTGATTTTTAGTCTAGCCAATCTGCCTAATTGTGATAGTGAGGTATTGAGACCCCCAATACAATTGTATTAGTGTTTATTTGACTTTTTAATGTCTTTTAATATTTGTTTTATATAGTTGGATGAGCTGGTATTTGGTGCATATATATTGATGATTGTTGTCTCTTTCTCATGGATTGTTCCCTTTACAAGGATGTAGTGATTTTCTTTGTTTCTTTTGATCAGTCTTGGCTTAAGTTCACACTGCAAAAAATAGATACCCCTGCTTTTTTCCAGATTTCTGTCACATGGAGCATTGTTTCCTATTCTTTGACTTTCAGTTTGTGAATTCCTTTTTTGAGTTAAGTGTGTTTCTTGTATGCAGCATATTGTTGGATCTTGCTTCTTGATCCATTCTGTCAGTCTGTTTTATTGATTGGCGAATTTAGGCCATTTACATTATGATTATAACTGATATGTATTGATTTGTCCTTGTCATGTTGTTTTCCTGTTGCTGGTACCCTGCCTTTCCCCTCTGTTGAACTGCTTGCCCTGCCTGGTGATTTCTTTCTATTGGTGTTCTTGGAATTGTGGTTTTCCTTATCTCTTCCTAGACTATTTTTCAGAGCATTTTGGAGAGCTGATTTGGTGGTTATAAATTTCTTCAGTTGTTCTTTGTCATGAGAGTATTTTATGTCTTCATTAATTCTGAAAGATAGTTTTTGCAGGGTACGTCAACCCGTGTTTGAGGTTGTTTTAGAGCTTGAAATATTTGAAACTCTCTTTGACTTGAGAGTTGTGTTGAAAAATTTGCTGTGATTCTAGTGGGTTTTCCTTCGTAGGTGATTTGTTTCCTTTCTCTAACTGCTTTAAACATTCTGTTCTTGTGTTGAATTTTTGGAATCTGAATTGTTACATGCCTTGGTGTAGAATTTATTTTGATCATGGCTATTTGGAATTCCATATACCTCACTTACTTGTAACGTACTGTAGAAATGATCCCTGAAAGGCTAGCCTTTACTTCACTTATTTTATGTCAAATTCCTTATCCACATTTGGGAAGTTTCTGCCATTACCTCTGTGAAGGGTTTGTGTGTGTGTGGTATTTGTAATCTCCAGCTTTCTCACTGACTCTGATCAATCTTATGTTGCTCTTCTTTGCTTCATCTTGTAGATGTCAGATTGATTTTTCACAGTTCTTTGCTATTTTAAAGATATTTTTCTTTTTGTGGTCAATAACCACAATGCTGTCTTTTAAATCTGATATTCTATCTTTCGATGGAAATTTTGCATATCTGTTTGAATCTGTTTCATGGCTTCCATTTCTTTCCTATAATGGGCATTTTAAAAATCTGAGTCTATCTAGATTGGTTGGGCATCTTTCGTTTTGATCATCATTTCTTTTTTTTTTAAATGAAAAGTTATTTTTGGGTAGCCATCTCAATTTTTTTTTTTTTTTACTTCTGATGTTATTATTTCAAAAAGTTCCAATGTGTGGCTTCTGATTTCTTTTATCTCATTGTGCTCTGGACTTGTCCTGGGTGGGATGGAGGTCTGGAGTTGCATTTTACTTCTGTCTTGTAATTTTCTATTTTGTTTTATTTTCTCTGTTGGTGGTTGTAGATTTCTAATGATAGAAAACTTTATTACTAGCATTGTGGCTTCCTTAGAAATGTCTATTTCTCAGGCATGTTTTCTATGTGTAATTGGTTCTTGGTCTTTGTGTATATCCCAAGAACGTACCCTCCCAATTTATTAAGGATGGGAGATAGCTATCTATTTGGCTTTGCATCCTGCCTTTCATACTGAACTATGGTGATGGTTATTACCTGAGGGCAATCTGTGCTGTCATACAAGGAAAAAAAGCTGATTATATAACATATATGACATCCTGGTTAAAATAGTACAATTACTAAAAACAATTATATTCAGCACAGCCTAGCAACTGGCCAACAGTGCTAACTATTAATTTGGCAGCTTAAGCCATAGGAGCAAGCTATTACATAACAAAATCCAACATATTTCAGGAACTTGTTTGTAGTGAGTTTCACCTTGGTAGATTGATTTCACCCACCACTGTGGGGCCACGCTGGGCTGGAAAAAGATTTTTTCTAAATGAGCTGATATTTCATTAAGGTCAAGAAAGAATTAAAAGATCAAAAGTAAACCAAAGGAAGAGCGAGAAGGGAGAAAGTAGGAAGATAATGAAATAGAAAACACAAGGACAACAAAAACAGAGATTTTTAAAAAGGAAAATACAAATCTACTTCTAAAAGAAAAGAAAAAAGAAAAACCCTCGATAGACTGCCCAAGAGAGAGAGACAGCATGCGTTAATGAATAATGCTAGGAATTACCTCCAAAGCACTCAAAGCCTTTTGTCAACAAGGACCTGATTCTGGAGAGACTGACACTTCCTCTGGGAAGCCCTCGTGAGGGCTAGCGCGCCCTCTGCTGGCGACGAAAAGTTAGTACCCCAGGGAGCCGCCCTGTGCGCTGCACCCCTAACTCCGCCCCTCCCTCCACAAGGCCCCCTCCCGCGCATCACGTGAAGAGGCCTCGCTTGGTTGGGTTGGGTCTCGGGCAGGGGAAAGGTGGAGGCCCAGGTGAGAGTGGCTGTAGCGAGGGTTCCCTGGGTGGGGTGTCAGAATGGAAAGGAGGGGAGTGGGATGGATTGCAGGAATCTTAGTGTCTGCTCCATGTAGAGTGGTTTCGAACTGGGCTCTTAGTTTGGGAGAGAATTCTTGTTTGTTTGTCCATGTCTGTGTGCCCTTGGGTGAGTCACTTAACATCTGCTAAGGCACAGTCTGGTTAGGGGTGGGCATCTCTCTCCCCCTGGGCACCAGGTACTACTGCTGTCCTCATGATGAGCTCTCTTGTCTCTGACTCCACACAGGCCTGCGTTCCTGCTTTTGGCCCTGGCAGGTGGGCAGACATGTCCCAGAAGGGGGATGCGGAGAGCTCCAGCACAGATAACCCTGTTTTCTATACCCGACACAGACACAGAGGCAGGCTTTGCCAGGAGGACGTGGTAGAAGCCAGCTCCGGGCCAGGCATGATGTCAGAGGCCCAGGGTCCAGCTCCAAGCAGGAAGAGAGTCCGCAGCGGGGAGTCCCGTCCAGGTGCCAGCCTGCAGGCTGGGGATGCTGCTGGGGCCAGCAGGGCGGGGTTGGAGCTGCAGGCTGTGGGGCCGAGTCCCAGCCAGCTGCCCCCTGGGCCTGAGCAGGGTAGTGCAGGGTGCTCCAAGAGGCTCCAGGTCTCTCTGTGTGACATCCTATCCACCAGGTGCCTCAGGAATCTTTGTAGCACTTTGCTGGGTCTCCCAAAGAGGGCACTGGCAGACATGGAGGGGCCAGCAGAAGTGGAACTGGCTAGCTGCCCCAGGCCCAGAGGGGTGGGAGGCCAAGGGATGAGTGCTCTGAGTGACAAGGGAAGCTCCACACTGGACAAAGAGAATTTCTCTGAAAGGAGCCTGACACCCTCACCAGGCCCAGCCCCTGAGAGGGCAAGAAGGAAAAGCAGAAAGTCTGGGTCCTGTCCCAAGGGTGGACAAGGGGCTAACGGCTTCTTATGGCTTGATCAGAGCTCTGGTGGGGACAGCCAGTCTTTGGGAGGCTCCCTGGAAGGTGCCGACCTGAGGTCCTTAGGAGGCCCCTGCGGGCATCTGTGTCATGAGGACACAAGGCTCGGAGATCCAGGTGGAAGTCAGGCAGGATGTGCCCCAGGGATTGCAGGGTTTGAGTACTTGCCTGCTGCCGGGTCTGGGGCCCAGCCGGGCAGCCCCCTCAGCTCTCACAGGCTCTGTGCAGATGAGTCCTGCAGTCCAGCCACACAGGACTTCTGGTGGTACAGTGCGCTGTGCCTGGAAGGGCCAGGATGGCCTTCCGCAGAGCAGCAGGAAGTGGAGCGTGTGGAGGGGGCTGGCAGTGAGGAAGGCCTTGCTGCTCCACGGGGCCGGCACGGGCCAGAGGCCCAGCTGGCACCCAGGGAGAACCTAGGGCAAGATCTTGCTGTGCCCTCCGACACTCATGCCTGCTCCCCGGAGCCCTTGGGCACCCTCAGCTTCTCCCCGGAGGCCACTGCCAGCGAGGCCTGCACAGGCCCATTGGCGTGGCGGGAAAGAGGCAAGTGTGCTGAGAAGCTGAGCGGGGACCCAGCATCCTGCACCCGAGAGCAGCCCACAGACAGAAGCTCAGATAACTCCCGCCAGCATAAGCCAGAGAAAGCCAGCCCAGAAGGATGCTCCAGATGGGTAAGTTGAGTCCAAGAGTTTGGGACAGAAAGGGCCAGGGCACCAGGCTTAACTGCTTGCTTGGTGATGGAATTTAACAGAGCTAAGCTCGATGAGCTCCTGATGCTCATTATTGATCACACTTTTATTTCATGTAAACTGATGCCCACCATGACAGGAAGGGGAAAAGAAACTGCATGTACTGGATTCTTATGAAGGTGTTTTGGAGCTGGTAAGTCCAGCTGGGTTCGAAGCTTGCTTCAGCTCACTTCTTAGCTGAATGACCTCCCTTGGGATATTTTTAAATCTTTCTTAAGTTTCCACATCTTGGGGTCGGGGATTTAGCTCAGCGGCACCTAAGCGCCTGCCTTGCAAGTGCGCGGTCGTGAGTTCGATCCCCGGTACCGATTTAAAAAAAAGGAGTTTCCACATCTGTAAACATGGAGATGCTAATGCCAGCTCCATGGGGATTGTTGGCTTAAAGGATAATGCGCCCAGCATGGCACAGCGCACAAGGATGTGGCTTAATGTATGTTAAACTTGCTCTTCCTTTAGAGTTAGCATTTGACTTAAGAGGCATTAACCCCATATAACCAAATGGGGAAACTGAGGCTCAGTGAAATTAAAAATTTCTCCAGGCTCACCCAGCTTCAGAATGAGTGTCCAGCCATGTTCCTGTCCCCACTGCTTCCCTTTCTGTTGGTCTTCTACATACAGTGTGGATGAGTTTGTCAAGCACATCTGACAAGTATATGCAGCAAAGGTGGAGGGTGGCACCGCGTATTGCTGATGAGTATTTTCCAGAGTTGAATTATGGGGCTGGGTATTTAGCTCAGTGGCATAAGCGCCTGCCTTGCAAGCAGGCAGTCGTGAGTTCAATCCCTGGTACAGATAAAAAGGAAAAAGACAAAAAAAAAAAAAAAAAATCAGAGATGAATTATTTTCACGTTTGTGGAATGTATTTTACATGGTAGATATTTGAGTATGATCATCACACGGAGTCCAGAAAGGTGAGGTAACAGATCCAGGGTCGCACAGCAGATGAACGACAGCAAGCACACAGCCCCAGGCAGTCTGTCTTGAGACTGCTGTGCTGCTTGCTCCTACATCATTCATGTCATCAAAACAGTGGTGAGAACAACTCCCATGCCTCCCATGGGCTGGTGTTGCTGCTAAGCACTTTGGCTCCAGTCTTTGTAACAATGCTAGGAAGTAAGTGCTATTGGTGTGTACCTATTTCCCTGGTGTGGACACTGAGGCTCCAAGAAGTGAAATGACTGGTTAAGGCCAAATAGGCAATTAGTAGAGCTGGAATAGGAATCAATGAACTTCTTGTGTGTCTGTTACTATTTGTTCTAGTTATATAAGATAGGGATATAGCTCAGCGGCACAGCACCTGCCTGGCAAGCACGAGGTTATGAGTTTGATCCCTGGCACCAAAATAGATAAATAAATAATAAAAAAATAAGAAGTCAGGGCCAAGGGTTTAGCTTAGTCACACAAGCACCTGCCTAGCAGTCATGAGATGGTGAGTTCAATTCCTGGTATAACAATAAAAATACGATAAAATGTCGTGTCATAGAAGATAAGCATGAGATGACCACCCCCATAATGCCACCATTCAGCACCAATTCCTGTAGACATTTTGGTATGGCTTCTTTCTGCCATCTTTTTCCTATATGTATATGTTTTTGTAACCTAGAATTGGGATCATATGTGTCAAATTTTGTAATTACATTTTTTTGAAATTAAAAAAATTTTGGTGGCACTGAGGATTGAAGCCAGGGTCTTCACACCGAGCTACACCCCCGCCCCCGGCCCTTTTTTGGTTTTTATTTGGAAAACTTGTTTGGAGGTTCCAGCAGAGGGCAGCTGCTTGTGTACCTTGGGCTGAGGAGATGGGACCCCGCCACCAGCGAGGGTTGTCCTCTTGCAGGCGTGTGTGCAGCTTTGGGAGGGACACACGTGGAGCCATGATGGTGAAAAGGGACAGCTGCCTAGCCAGCCAGATCAGGCCAATCAACCCTGGTGATCTCTGCGGTGACAGACGTCTTCAAAGCCAGGTCGCCCACACATCCGTTACTTTTTATTTTTGGATAAGATCTTGCTAGGGTGCCCAGGCTGGCCTTGAACTTGTAATCTTCCTGCCCCAGCCACCCAGAGTGCTGGGATTACAGTTGTGCACCATCATGCTTGGCTATTAATTTTTTATCATCAAAGACAGAAAGACCCTTTTAGTGCCTCCTGGCCACATTGTCCTTTGTCCCGAGAAAACCACTGTTCGTGGCTTGTGTCCTTCCAGCGCCCTTTGTATGGAATTCTGCACAAACATCTGCATGTTGAGCCTTTCTATATGTGAACAGGCTTATACTCTGGCCTGTTGTGCTGGGGCTTGTACTTTGTTTTTTAAGCTCTATAGTATTTCAGGATCTTTCCAAGTTGGCACACATTGTTCTGCCCAATTCTTGCTGCCTATAGACATAATTGTCACATTCACAGGCACTGTCAGGATGAGAGGACGGGCTGGGACTTCCTATTTCCAGCTGCTGTGGTGTGGAGAGCAGAGCCCCTGCATGGGCAGGGTGCCATTCAGTCGTGGCTGTGCCACTATGGAAAGACCTAGGCAAGCGCCTTCACCTTTTCAGGCATTGTTCCCTCACGTGCAAGACGTGGGGACTAAAACTCCTTACCTCACGGGGTAACTGAGGACTAAATGAGATGACACACGTTTGGCCTCTAACACAGTGTGTGGTACAGGGAAAATGCTATGACGTGTTTGTTACCTGTTATTGACAGATGACATATTTTGTCCTGTTGTGAGTAATGCTGGGGCAGACATCCTGGTTCGTTTGGTTTCTCTCCACTTCAGATGTTTAGTTCAGATAGGAGTCCAGGATTGAGATTCCCAGGGCTGCGACATTTGGGGACTGGTTGTTGGAGTGCAGTGGTGCAGCCAGGTCCTGCCTGGCTCGGCTTGCAGCGGCCCACAGCCCTCCTCTCCTCCTCTCCTCCTCTCCTCCAGGCCCATCCTTGACTCTGCCGCACAGCCTATCATCCCGCGCTTCCCAAACAACTCGTTGCCATGGTGACTAGTGCCAGCTGCAGGGAGAAGAATTGAGGCTGGGCTGTGACAGGGACGGGAAGGCGGGTGGTTGAGGACAAGGCTGAGTGGGGTGTGGGCAAACGTGGGCACAGTGCCCAGAGGGTCTGAAGCTCCTTTGAGAGCCCCAGTGCCTCCCCTGGAAGCAGCTTGGTTGGAGGGAAGCAGGGGCAGGCAGAGGCGGCCATGGGAAGAGCTTCTTTTTGAATCCTAGTTGGTTCCCCTGTGAGATGGCGAGCATCCTGGGACCTACAGGAGTTCTTGGTTGTGTTGCATGCTTCTGGCTTGAAATTGAGACTCTTGCGGGGGCTATAGGACAAGAGTCAGCACGTCTTTTTCCTTTGTGTACTGAGCCCTGGAGTGGCCAGGAAGGTCAGGAGCTGCTTTGTGGCAGAGAGAGGAGTGGCGAGGGCAGCTCTGCCAGTAGCCCCTGCTCTGACCTCAGTCTGCCCACCACAGCCAGGGAGGTTCTCATCTCCTCTGGCCCGAGGTATGCGGTCTGCAGCTGCACAGTGCACAGTGTAATTTTCTTGAGATCACACAGATCCTAAGTGTCAGCAGCAGGTATCCCATACCACAGTGTATTTATTTGTTGGCTCCATATGGACATTTGGACTGTTCGCAGTTTTTTCTCTCTCTCCCTCACGTGGTGCTGCTGTGAACAGCTTGGCACATGTTTTATGACATATATGGGCAAGAGGGTATCGAGGAAATATTCCCTGGAAGGGAGTATTGTCCGTTTGCACACATACACATACACATGCACACACACACACACACACACACACACACACACACACACAAACCCACCAGAATTTCTAGGTCATCGGGTACCACATCTTCAGCCTTACTTAAATGGTGCCAGATATTTCCCCAAGTGATTGTAATAAACTCCACCAGCAGTGTATAACTGCTCCAGTGACTCTGCATTGTGACAAATGCTTGATACTGGCAAACTGCATTTTTGCCAAAGTAAAGATATGCTATGTTGTCTCAATATTGTTTTAATTTTGTTTCATTACTAAGAAGAATCTCTTCATGTTAGCCATTCATATTCTTTTGCCATAAATAGGATCTTTTGTTCTTGTTTAACTGTTTATTGATTAGTAGGAGTTGTTTATATATCCTGAATACCACTCCTTTTCAGTTGTATGTTTTGCATATACATTTCCCAGAGTATGGTTTATAATTTTGCTTTCCTTCTAGTGCCCGTTATGAGCAGAAAATCTTTTTTTTTTTTTTGTCTTCTTGACACATTTTTTTTTTTTTGTCTTTTTTCCTTTTTATCGTTACCGGGGATCGAACTCATGACCGCCTCCTCCCAAGGCACTTATGCCACTGAGCTAAATCCCCAGCCCCTTTTTTTGTCTTTATGAGACAGGGTCTCACAGTGCAGTTCAGGCTGGCCTTGAGCTCACTTTGTAGCCCAGGCTGGTCTTGAACTCGAAACGATCCTCCTGCCTCAGCCTCCTGAGTGCTGGGATTACAGGCGTGAGCCACCATGCCCGGCTGAAAGTCTTATTTTTAATGTGGTAACATAATAATGTAAATTTACCATTTTAACAGTTGTAAATGTTAACAGTGGCCCTAAGTATATTCATATTGTTGAACAGCCGTACTTTGGTATTCAGATTTTGGACTGGACACATTTCAAAGTGAAACTTTTGTCGTTTGTTTGATCCTCACTGCGTGAGCTGGAACTTTTCAGTGTTGATGGCTTCAATCATGTGGTACTCATCACCCTCCTGGAACCAAGCAACAGCAAGCTTGGAGGTGCCACCGTGTGAGCGGCATCAGCTTCTTCTCCGTCACTATTTCGTCTTCCCAAACTGACTCTCTGAACCTATTTACCAGTAACTCCCCATTCTTGTTGCCTCCCCACCCCTGGCAACCACAATTTTGCTTTCTATCCCCATGAATTTGACTGTTAGGTATCTTACAAAAGTGGGCCCATACAATAACTGTGTTTTTGTGCGTGTGACTGCTTCGCTTAGTGGGAGGTATCGGAATAGCATTCTGCTGAGCAGATGGTACCCAGTTTGTTTACCCATTCACCCGTCCATCAGTGGGCATTTCATCTTCTGACTGTTGTGAGTAATGCTGTGAAGAAAACTAGCCAACAAGTGTCTGCT